ATGTGAAAAGGGAAAAATTAACGAAATGCCACCTGGATGACAGAAAACAAAAGATATTGTCACAGAATTGTCAGTTGTTCTTGGAAAAGGACTCAGTGGTGGTCGCAACGTCGTATAATAATCATAAATGAATTTGTTTATTGAAGATCAATTAGTTGCCGTAATTTTATGGATGTCAACATACCCAAACAGCTAGAAACAAACCTGTTATTTATTGTTCTAATCATTTTAAATGCTGCAAGTCTCATGTCACAGTTCATAATCCCAGTCACATCATCATTGTCATGTCGAAACTTAATATTCCAGTCGTTGAAACCTTCTTCTTATGGACTAAAAACGCCCTGTAGATGTCTATTAATCGGTAGATTATCCCAAAAACGCCTCCTGCTAAATAAATATTGTGACTAAAGGCGTCACTACTAATTTAGATACAGATTAAAATACTTTCCAATCGTGGATCGAGTAACGCCTCCTGCCACATTGGTGACTGGCAGCTTATTTTTGAACTCAGTCAAATTACTATTGTTAGTAACTCACATACATCTCCAGCATTTCGACATGTCTATCTTGTTGATAAAAATCTGATCATTCCGACCACACACCTGAAAAAATACCTACATGTGTTATACACTGAAAACCAAATACCACTGACGTCGTAATGTGTACGAGAGGGAAGCGCGAGAAGCGTGCAAGACGTGTGTTAGAAAGAGATGGAAGCACCTCGTTGCGTAGCAAACGAGTGCGAGATCACGGATGCCATCAGCGCACTCTTTCTAACATACATATTACACGCTTCCCTCTCGTGTACATTACGACGTCAGCCAAATTTGAAAATCACCGTATACAGTGCTTGTCAAAAAGATCCTCTCCTTATTTATTTTTTTTTGAACCGGTCATGTCAGCAGGTTGAAATTCGAGCTGCTGACATTGATGCATAAGTACTATGTTTTTTCGTCAATGTGGCAGTTGGAAATTTCAAGAAGGCAGCCGAGCGCCATTTTAGAACATTTTTTTAAGTGGAACCGAGGGGTCGTGTGGAATCTCTTTTGAAGCTCTTTATGGGTACTTTGTGACGCTAGAATATAAAATTAGTATATTTTAAAATGGAGAGCTGGCAGACTGAAATAGTTGGATGTTTTTATGAGTCAGATAACTCAATAACCTATAATGAAAATAATATGGAACATTCCGCCTGGAAAAAATCTGAATGTCCTATATTATATCGCACGTTCGTATTAGTCTAATCGTGATAGACGAATATACCCCCGGTTTGCGAAATAATTGTAAAGTCTGATTTTATCGCTGCAAGTTGTTCAAGGGGGTATTTAAAACGTGGAAGCATAAAATGGGTACATCAATTTTTGTGGGAAAACTCTTAATTCGACAACAAAGAATGAGAAGACGTGTTTTTTGGGATTCTATCGAACATTTTGGCAGGAACGAAAATACTCTTCATATAAGATTTTAGGTATTTATGCCACCTACAATATGAGACCACACTTAAAAAGATCCGACTAATAACAAAAAAGTTATGGCCGAAAACCGAGGCAAACTGCAGGTTTTGGCACTTGTTGGTAATGCAATGATGATTTCTTGCAGATACTTGAAATTCTTCAAATTCGTAGGATTCGCACTTCTAAATAACCACAACAAACTTGGAGTTGTTTGTTCAAGTAGTCTTTGATAGTTTCTAATTGCCTATCCCAAAATACCTGTATTCCGGCCATCACTACTAGTTTATTGAGCAATGTACATGGTTAGTTCAAATGGCATTTTTTAGCGATATGAATCGTAGACCATTCCGGCAGATAAATGTTATTTTAGGTTGATATAATACGAGTACTATGTTTTCGTGATTTATTGTCGAGTCATAAGCGATTTAATGTACAAAACTGCTCAACCTTTTTTTATTTTAGGCTTACAAAGGAGAGTCAAAATGATCCCCATTACTTTCAAACAAATGTTATAGGATGCGACCACCCCACCCATTTCTTTAATGGAACAAGTTATTTATTGGTATATTTTGAACATTACCTATAATTTATAACAACCTGCTAGCGCATTCAGTCGCTTCTTCTAAGTTAACAGTGCAGCGTTTTTGTATACAATCCGGGTCCCATAACTCTAATGATCTGCCGCCATCAGAATGGAGTTTTCCGGAAAGTTTCTTAATTCCAGTTGCAATCTAACTTGGGTACCTACACTGTATACTAATCTACACGGTTAAAATCGATTTTCGCCACTGCAGGTGCGCCAGGTTCATTACACTTCATCATAGAATGGCAACGAACTCGAATGCCTTAATTGAGAATGAGTAAGTCTTGTTGGCCAACAGTAGTACACAAATAGAAAGGCTTCCAGAGCCGATTTTGCCAAAGGACTTTGCTCTTTAGAGCTTTCCTTACTAAAGCTACCATATTTTAAGCCTACCAGATGAACCAGCCATACTTCTGCTTCTCATTTCAACACTATCGAACTTGTACACCGAGAAATGACCGATATGATCGATACTTTGCTGCAGTAACTGACTTTTTCCATTTATGCTAACCTTATTCACCCCAAATATGTAGGTCAATAATATGCATATACTAACGTAAACAAGACTGTTGAAAAGTTCAACACAATGATTCGACGCCATCTTTTTGAATAGGGTCACGCGATACACATATCGGTACTCTATAACCCTGGGATAAAAATGTACCATCTTTTAAAGTAGCTGTTCTGTTATATTCATATTCTTCTTTTAAAGCTGTCTGTCTGTCTGAACGTGTAACAAATTATAACATATAAGAAACTGGCACGTTTTAAGAATATTAATATCTCTTAAATTGAATGTTCCATAAATTATTACATATTTGGATAGAGCCTTTCAAGAAAAGAAGATTGAATGATGACACTTCCAACATTCCCATTGTGTACCATCATCATGTCAGTGTTGCCATTTATGCTATTTATGATCACCGGTTGAGCATTACTGGTGATAATACTTTATGATATAATAATAATATTAATAATATGCCTTTATTTTACCTGGCGGGTATATCAGCTAATAGTTGCTTTTGGTACCAACCAGGGATACATAAGATTAACAAACATAAAAAAACCACAGATACAAAAAAATAATGATCAAGACAGATGGTACTACTAAGAAGTAACAAGTACAACATAATAGTGTGTAAAGTGTGTAGACAAATTCAAGTCATATACACTCACGCACTCACTGAGACAGAAATAATAAAAAAGGAGGTATATAAAAAAACATAAAAAAGAACAGGAAATAGGTAACATTTAGCTATGTAATCACAACTCACAAGTAAAAGCATTCACGTATGCGGGACCTCGGTTGGCCGCGTGGGTCGTGTTCCCTCGCCAGAGTCCGTGTGGCGTCCCCCCTTTTCCCATGTATCCCCCTATAGCCCCACGGTACCCAATGGGTGCTTAGGCCTTAGGCCTTCGTGGTAGTTGGAGTATAAAAAAAAACGTAAAGATCAGTAGATGATAAATTTAAATGTACATAAGTCAAACGCAACCAGGCACTTAATGTAGCATCACAGCAGTTACATGATGAAAGCTTAGTATAAATTTAGGTATTATCGACAACAAATTGCTTTATTTTAACTTTAAAATTATTGTTACTCAAACTTTTCAGAAGAGTCGTTTTATATTCACGAGTACTGATTCAATATACTCATTATTAAGCAATTGTTCATTTTATATTTAAATTTGTATAATTTTATATTGAAAATGAACAATTTCATATTAAATAAATACATAAACCTTGTTACAAAGTGTTAAAAAACCGCCACTTGGACCTTTTTCATTCAGACTCGTTTTTTTGGAAATACCGAAAAGATTATTCTTTCAACTAATATATCAATCTATTATTATTATTCTTTCAACTAATATATCAATCTATTTGTCGTTATTAAGAATCATAAGAGAATCTCCAAACAGAGTCGATATGTAAGTCAGTGGCGTAGAATTTTGAACACCCCTACAGGTTACCACGGAAACGGGAAAATTCATGTCCATACGAACACTTATCATATTTTTACGTGCTGAATCTGCCAGTAAATTTTGCTGATAACATTCTGTAACAGCCTGAATAATAATCTATCGAACATTAATACTTACCATGAATTTAATACTGCAAACCAAAATTTTAAAATAATCTATAAACAGTCATAACTGGTAATGTTAAAAGGTCCTCGTACTACAATAAAACTGTATTATACTTTTCAACAAATTACCAGTAATCAGTAATTAGATATTATTTAAGATTTGAAGAAAATCTTTATATTATATATATACATTAGTGCTTTATTGTTGTATCTACAGGGTGTTTGAAGTTCGAGCCTCACCATTGGGATTTCGGAAACTTCAAGAGATACGAAGTGAACATGCCGCTTAGAAAGTTTCGATACTTTCGGAGAGAGACGCAAAAACTTAATTTTCCCAAAATCGTCTTAATTTTTTCCTGACTCTGTGGTGGGGTTTCAAAATAAACTGCACATTAACATAGTCACTTTGGTGTAACGTATCGACAACGCGGTCTATCTCTTTCTAACATATCGTCCCTGCAAACAAAAGTGTCGTAACTAACATTTCCATAATTTTACAGGAGAGCGAAAACAAGAAAAGGGATCTCTTTGGGAATCTGTATGTCATACAATAAAAAGTCTATCACAAAACAGGTTGAGCCTATCATATTCAAATCGACCAGTTTTCGAATGCAGCTAGCAAAATGGCTGCATGTTGGGTAAGTTTTGACAAAAAAAAAATGGTTAAGTCAGATACGTCATTTCGTGTTGTCAAAAATAATTCTTTAATGATGCAACAGAAGATACGACGAAAAGAATAAAGCATAGCGACAACTATAGTGTTTTTATTCTGACTATAGCACTCAGCAGAAAATAAAACAACTTTTGTTTTATTCTGCCTAGGATACTCCTCTAAAATTTTAAAAAGGCAGGTCGCTACCTCCGAGGATCCTCTCTTACCTGCTGTTTCATGCCATACAAAGCAATAACAATCTTTACTAACTAAATCATAGAAAGTGAAGTTGAAGTCCGATAATCTGCTTTTATGAAAAATTGCATTTTCCTTACTGACTGATAAGTAAATGACCTGTTGAAGAGCAAACACCACATAAAACTGTATTGTCAGCCATCGCTACTTCTTTATACAGTATCTTCAATTCTCTAACCTTATTTTTTCTTTAATATGATTTTCAAAGTCCTCTTCAATCTTGATTTCACATTTGGTTTAGTGCACACTGAAGTAGTTATACTGATAAGAACCGATGCACATATATTTGATTCGTTTTGAGGTTATATTCTCGTTCGCCGCGGTAGAAGGATTAGGAGACCAGAAGATCACGAACTGTCGTATCAGCAAATATTCTTAGATACGACAGGTCGTGACTGGCAGATACGTTGAAACCAAATATTAAAATTACTCTACATTGGCTGAGAATTTAGATACGACACATTGTGAAAAGGAAGTGTCGACTTTATATTCATATCAGATACGACACTTCGTGTTTTGGGGAACGATATGTGACTATACACACTTCTCTCTCGTGCACATTGAACTCAAGTCGTCAGACAAATTTGGTTGTCGGTCTATATTAGGAATCAGAAGAAAGGGGCTATCATTTCCGTTAAAAATACACGGACTGTATCCATTAAAAAGAATACAGCTTTATTCTATACCACTTTTCTGAGTTACAAAAAAAAATTACATGAAAAACTGCATATTCCCTATAATTCTTATATACAACTTTCTGGTCCTGGTCATGTGAAAAAGTTAGAGGGGGTCAATTTGTAGCCGAACACCCTGTACACCATTACATCTAAATTTCCAATAAAGTGATAACGTGATATACAAAGTTATAAATTTCATGGTGCTGCCGCGCCGCTTTTGGGGCAACCCTCGTACTGAACATTTTTAAAAGCCGATATACGTGCATTAAACTCCGATTTGTAACGCGATAACCAAAAATTAAGGATTTATCTTAACGACATCTGCTAAATGAAAATTAAAGTTGCGTATAATCAGATTAATGGGTACGCTTTATTATTACTTAATTTGAGGAATATCAGCTCCATAAGTGGTCATTAAACCCATCACTCTGGCAAAAGAAGTGCTAAAAGATCATCGCAAATTCACACGTTGGTCAACGATCTCCGAATAATTATACAGGATGTTTTCAAAACATTGTGTAATAGATAATTCCCATGCTTGCCTGACCAATAAAACCACATGAATTGACTGATCTTCTTTATATGTAGTCTTATTGGCCATGCAGACAAGCATGGATGATTATCGACATGTAAACCACAAGATAAGTTTGAGATATTACATTGTGGTTCAAGATGCACCCAAGGTGCTTATTTTTCAGAAAAATAGCACTCAAAGCTTATTGATCTACTGAAAACTATCGAAATCTTTCAACAACCAGGATCATTGCCTACTGAGTTACATCCAACAACTTTGCCATGTCTGCCCTCGTGTTTTTAACCAAAACATACGGAAATTGTTGGATAGATCGAGGAAGACCTTACTTGCGGCATACTTGATCTTTGGACTCAAGCCCTCTCCCTTAGAGAATCATCTTAATTTGTTACTTCATAGTATCGCGGTGGAAAATGTGAAAGATCTCGGACTCGGATAGTTGCTGGTTATAGCGCATCAAAAATGCTCATAGAGTACTTGAAAGAGTTCGTCAGTCTATAATACTTACGTTTCATCTGGATGCAGTGATTTTGAACGCTTTTTGTAGATTCAAAGACCTTACCTATACTTGTTTTGAATGATTTCAAATGCTGCTGTAATTCGTCCAATTAAGTCTTGCTCTGTTGCTGGAGTTTCGTAGACCAAAGGCTTATATCGGGTCAGTTAGGAGGCCAAGAAACTGCTCCACCTCCGGCAATCCAACGACGCCCAAACCGATGAGCCGAATACACACGTACTTGTACAGCAAAGTGAGTCGGCGCTCCATCATGCTGAAACCACATTTGCTGTCGAACGTTCAATGGAACATTTTCAAGAAGTTCTGGAAGAACAACCTACAAGAAACGCCGATAAATAGGTCCTGTTAACCGTTCCGGTAGAAGGTATGGCCCAATCGAATAATCGTCAACAATGTCTGCCCATACGTTAACAGACCAACGTTGCTCATGTTGTCTAGGAAACATTCAATGGGGATTTTCTTTGTCCCAAACGTGGCTATTTCTACTATCAAAAATACCGTCTCGTGTGAAAGAGGCTTCATCGGTCCATAAAACATAGCGTAAAAAATTTGCTGTCGAACGTTCAATGGAACATTTTCAAGAAATTCTGGAAGAACTGCCTACAAGAAACGCCGATAAATAGGTCCTGTTAACCGTTCCGGTAGAAGGTATGGCCCAATCGAATAATCGTCAACAATGTCTGCCCATACGTTAACAGACCAACGTTGCTGATGTTGTCTAGGAAACATTCAATGGGGATTTTCTTTGTCCCAAACGTGGCTATTCCTACTATCAAAAATACCGTCTCTTGTGAGAGAGGCTTCATCGATCCATAAAAAATAGCGTAAAAAATTTGGTTGTGCAGCGATTTGATGAAGAAGCCATTGACAAAATTGAACTCTAGGATGATAATCGGTTGCAGTCAGTCCTTGAACTTTCTGGAAGTGGTAAGGATAAAGTTGTTGCTAGTGTAGCACCCGCCAGATAGAAGCGTTACTCGTATTCATATCCTCAACCATGTAACGTGTGCTACTTAATGGTTCGTCAACAACTCGCTGAAGAACCTCTTCTTCAAATTCGACCGTTCTTACGGTTCGGGCAACACCAGTATCATGCAATAAGCTTTTTGTATCCCGGATGCTGTCGTTCGGGATAACGTTCTTGATACAACTGCGCTGATGCAGCTTGTTGCTCTCTATGCCACATATACAGGGTGACTTTGAAGTTGAGTCATTAATTTTCAGATAATGATTGTAGAAGGAAGATAAACCAAAATATGCGTGTAAAAATAAGAAAAAAATTTAAAAAAAAAATTACCTTGTTTTATAAAGTATCCCCCGACAAGTATTTCAGTGCGGACCTGTATTTGATCGTGAGGTCTTGGAGCACCGGCATGCCCTCCCCTGTGAGGTCTTAAGTCACCTGATTCACGAGCCCGTTGTACTACATTAACAAAGGCACGAGGGGTTGGTTGCACTCGATTGGGAAAGCGATCCGCATAAACATGTGCCATTTTTTATTTCGTTTGAGCCACGCAGCAAACACCACTATCACTCACGCGTTACCGACTGACACATTGACTAAATAAAAACATCGTGATCAGCGTTTCAAATTCTTTCGCTTTTTGTTTCCGATGCGATGAACCGATAAGGCGGAGTATATCCGTTGTTGCCAAACACGAGCACATAATATTATTATTGAGACAGGGCGGTACTCAAACTTCTAAAGGACTATAACTTTGTTGCTTTAATTTTACCACAAAAATGTTAAAGGAAAACACATTTCTTTTGATCAGATCTACTCACTGTTAAAATAAATGACTCAACTTCGAAGTCACCCTGTATATCCGCCAATCCTTGATTGGTAAAGTTTTCCAGCAGCATACGATAGCACGACTAAGGCGATATGGAATGCAGCTACAAAAACAGTCTCTGGTTATCGTTTTTAAAGATAACAATACACAAGCGCCGGATATGGGTCCCTATACTCAAATGTGATCTACTGTTACACTGAGTAACCCCTACAAGTTTGATCCCATAGCTCTGAAAACGTATATTTGGAATTCTAGTTCCCCCTAAATTTCCCAAATGAATCAGTATTCCAAAAATCGTCAAGCAGCAAAATGATCTTAGAATAGTTCACAACCTAGTATTAGCGAACTAACTAAGACTAAGGTGAACAAACTAGTAATATAGCTTTCGTTCGTCATATAACAGATGGCCAACCATGGACAGTTGCTTCGTGCTATTTTGTAACTCTTCAGCAAGGTGTAGGCTTGGTCTCGGCGTACAACGAACCATATTGATGTTTGATTCCCATTCTACATTGATAAGTAAAATCACATTATTACAACTGTACCTACACTTTACTAACTCTACACAATATTAGTTGAGTAACATATGATTCAGAAGACCTTTTTCGGCCAGCCCTCTGCTGATTACATCTTTTTTTTGTTATTCATGTGTTCTTTCTTTTTTGTTTTGTTTTTTCTTTCTTTTGTATTGCCTTTTTTCTCTTTCTTTCTTTTTAGGAGTCCCAGAAATCAAACCAAAATAGCTGCTAGTGTTGTTCTCACCTTTATGGATGTTTATTCAATTTTATTTCAATCAACATGATTTATTAGTATCTGATTAATAAGTTTACGTTTAATTCTGAAAAATGCTCTATTCACATATAGCTGGCCAGTATTTTTGTAATGATACAGAACCTTGTTGTTTACGAAATTGCCAGTTATCTTATAAATTTATTGTACCAGTGGTAAGACTCTATAAAGTTCTCTGTTAATAATCTGGAAAGCTCTCTTATTTCATATTAGTTTAGGCAGTTTCAGAGACAGTAATACATTTCTACAGATATTCTGCTGCGGAGCTTCAAATATACAAATACTACGAACGTATAATTTTTAAACTTCAAATTCCAATTTTTGGCTTAATAATAAAAACAAGTGGTACAACTACAAAGTGTTTGTTTAAATAATAATGGCAGTGTCCAATAAACATAATATACCCAGAAAAGTGTACAAGTGTGCTTGGGTTTTAACCGAAGTTGAATTATAGTAATACAACAAATTTCCTATAATTATACTAGTCAAATGTATAAATTTGCATCATTTTATTATCAAATAACATCAGGTTTTTTATGTCTACAAACTTATTGACTTGTAACCTTGGCTGATTTAGAATCCATAACTTTAATTTAATTTTTGAACGTTTTCTTTTACATTTTATATGCAAGTTTGCAGGAATAACATTATACAATTTTGAGCATAGAAAATAGAATGATCTTTGGCTGAGTTTTATTTAGTATAGGAATTAGTGCAGATGTTTCCTTGAATCGCGTTTGATGGTTGTGGTTGATAGATTGTAACAATTTTGGATTCTTTTGTTACATATATAAAAAAATAAATTGGTAAATTGTGAAGATTTCCTGTGGGATACCATTTCTTTTTGTTCAACATAACCTTCAAAATCCACTTCTGGGTAATTTCAATCTTTTTGTAATAATTATTCATGTCTCCTCCCATGCTAAGATTCCATAAAATAGTACGGATTGAATGTATCACATGTTAATATTTCACGCTTAAAAAACTGCTGAAATATTTGCTTTCCGTAATAAAGTGTCTTAATTTTCTTATTAAATTTTAAATATGTGTTTCCAACTTAGATGCTTATCTATGAATTGGCCTAAGTAATTAAAATTATCAACCGATTATATGTTTTTGCAGCTATTCAACGTTTTAATTTGAAGCTGATTAAAATTTGGGGAAGATTTGTTGTCGCAAGAAAATGTAATAAAGTATGTTTTGTAGAAATTGGCTGTTAAAATCCTTTCCGTGAAAAAATTTGTAACCTTTTGAAAATCTAATAAAGAAAGTCCAATCGTTGTCTGAGTAAATAATTGCCGTATCGTCTGCAAAACCAATAATTTCTTCATCGTTTTTAACTCAAAAAGGTCATGAATCTACAAATTAAATAGAATTGGTCCTAATACGGTTCCTTGTGGAACTCCGTATCTAACAGTCATATTTTCACATAGTGTACTGTTAATGTTCACACATTGTTTTCTGTCTTTTTTGAGTTGTGGCTCCATGAAATCCTAAATTTTCCAAAGTTTTTAATAATTTTATGCATAATACTATCGAATGCTTTGACCAAGTCTACAAAAAGGCATGCTGTTGACGTATTATTATCAACGTACTCGTACATTTTGGTTGTTAACTGAATAAGTGCATCTTGAGTTGATTTTGCTTCCTGGAATCCATATTGCTCTTCAGATATGAGGTTGATGAATGCATTCAGACATCTATATGGGTAAATACGAGAATACTGTTTAGCAGCGGCAGCTTTTTCCTCATTTGGAGCAACTGTTCTGTAAAAGCAAGTTTTCTGTCAAGATCTACACTGACATATCAAATAGTTTGAATTTCTTCAATTACTTCTCCGTTCATTTTAACTGATCCTAGGCGTTCGGGTGATTTTTTTTATGAAATTGATTAAAGATGTTTTGATTTTGTTTATTTTGATTTTCGATATTTTATGATAATCTTTTAAGATTCGCTCGTTAGCTATGGCAGTCCTTCTTGAACTGGCGAAACATGGCCAGTTCAGTAGTGTTTTACTTTGGGATACCATTTACATAATTTAGAAAAAGCACTGGAGATTAAGCGCTTCCCTGGGGAACACCAGCAGAAATACTTTTACAGTGAAAACTGTATCATTTATTACAACCTTGAATACAAGCTCAGATAGGAATGACTCTATAAGTTTAATGGAAGGCCATGCAAATTATTAAAAAGGCGTAGATATTACCATGCGATGACAAATTCCTTCTACGCACAGTCACATCCATTGAACTCAAGAACGCAGAAACGGCGGCGAGTCGATCGCATCGTTATTTCGGTCTCTCGCTTTTTGACATCGGCCGTCGTAGTTAAAATTATAATCCCAGCTTAAATTTAAGACGTAATGTTCAAGTAAATGCACCACTATTTTCTTTATTTTTTTCAAGTGTAGGTTTCTAACGACAACTAGAACATTATGATTATTGGCAATAACGTATTTGAAATCGATGTAAAATTAAAATTATTTTAAAAATATTCTCACGAATACACTCCTAGTTTTGCAATGACTTTTAAGCAATGTTCATTGAGTATTTTTATTGAGAATATATTATCAAATAAATGTTTTGATAACAACGTTAGTTTCAAGGTAAACGTCTGATTTGTTATATTGTATGGAGTCTTGCTCCTTGCAAGGCTGTTCGGAAGAAATTTATGAAACTTGAATTAAACGTTGACGGGAGCCTCGGTAGCTGGGTGAGCGCGTGGAGCTTTCTGGGGCTGCTACCCCGGACTCGCTGGGTTCTAATCTCCGCCTCCGAAGTTAATGGCGTGCCATGGATGTTGTGGTGTGTGTTGTCTTTACCACGCACGTGGGTGCAATAATACTAAATTCAATATAGAGTATTTTTTAACTAAAATTGACTAATTTTTCACAAATAACACAACGTTGCATCGGGGGCACTCAGCAACAATTTTTGGTTCTTATTGGACTATTTTATTTTTTAGAATACAAAAATAAAAATAATATTCGGGCCGGGCCCATTGCACAGCACAAATTTACAGCGGGTTTCGTCGAAGACGGCACATTATCGTCATAGGCACTGCTATAGAAAACCGCATGACGACACAGTGTCGTCATGGGCATCGAATATGTACCAGTTACTTAGTAGATGGATTGGAGTAGTACAGTGTTGGTATTACACAAAAAAGGTCAAAGCTGGCCTTGTTGCCTGCCTGCCTACAAATAATGGTTAATTCTGCAATAAAAAAATTGTATGAGTGACATGAGAACAATGTCCTACTTGATTATATATTTTTTTCAAGCACCTATATTGTAATATACTCATTTTATTTCCAGATTCATCAAATGTACAGAGACCAAATATTGAGGAAACCTTCTAAGCCAATGGGCGAGTGGTCAGACTGGGATTCATGGAGCCCGTGTTCCAGAAGCTGCGGTGGGGGGATCACACAACAAACTAGGCATTGCGTGAACAGGCCAGCAGAATCAAGGTATATTCATACTTCATTCTGCAGTAAAATGTGTCCCAATGAGTGCCTCGGGATTTACATTTGGTGTTATTCTTCACGACATCTTAAACTGCGTGCCTCACCTAGAATTTAATTATCGAGCCCCTAACGATGCACTCAGTGGTCCATTTATATAAAAGCCTGTCAATCAATCAAAATAATGAAATTACATATATGAAATGCATTATGTGTTTCAAAGTTAATACCTTAAACAATGGCCATGGGACAAAATTATTGTTGTCTTCATATGTCTTGACTGGGTACTTTTCAAATCACGTGTAAGGTTTATGAAAATTACTTTTTTGATAATATATTTCAGCTACAATTTTCGAAACTTTGTAGGCTTTTAAAACGTACTTTTAGGTATTTTTCAGGTTTTTTTTTTAAAGCAATAACAAAATTGGGAACCGCTTTGGGACATATTCCTCTACTACTGAGACTGGTGTGTTTAGTTAAGATTGTACACAATAATGACGTCAAATAGGTTGACTCTACAATTCCCACGCTACGCTCTCATCAGTTCATAAAGGTTTATATTTAGCAAAAGTTAGCTCGTCAGCAACCCTGCCATTCGCAAACCTAAAGCCGCGTAAAGACCGAAAATCAAACGACGAGCAAACGAATCCAAAAAGGGAGGACCCTGTCCCTCTAAGCAGGGGTGATCGTATTACCCCTAAATATCGCTTCAACCGCAAGTTTATTGTGGAGTATCCAACGAGGGAGGAGTGGGACGCCGGTGTGATCGGGCAGGTCTGGTACACGGACGGCTCGGCAGGTGCTGGGGTCTCTGGGCCTAGAACTAGGCTATCTCTGCCTCTCGGTGGATACACCACTATTTTCCAGGCGGAAATCTATGCTTGTGTATCTCACATTCTGGAGGAGGGTGGACCTAGGAGAAGAATAACAACGTTATCCGGCAGCCAGGCTGCAATGAAAGCACTAAGTGCCTGAAAGATTACTTCGTGTCTTGTATTGCAATGCAGGGAGGCTCTGCATTGCCTCGCAGCGAGGCATCCGATATCATTAATATGGGTACCTGGGCACGCTGGGATAAGGGGCAATGAGACGGCGGACACTCTGGCGAAGACAGGATCAGCCAGCAAGCTCGTTGGTCCTGAGCCAGCTCTTGGAGTGTCCGCGTATAAAGCTAGGAGGAAAATGGAGACGTGGGTTGCAAGACAACACTCTCAGAATTGGAGAAGTATCGTCAGACATCTCCGCCAGGCACGGGAACTCGTTGAAGAGCCCAGTGCTAAGGATGGACGCTTCTGCCTATCTCTGGATAGAGCCAACCTAAGGTTGCTGGTGGGACTGTTGTCTGGCCATAACACGTTAAGGCATCACCTGCACATCATGAGGGTGGCTGAGGATCCCTTGTGTGAACGCTGCGGGGTAGAGGAAGAGACCTCGGCGCACGTTTTGTGTCGCTGTGAAGCTCTGCGCTACTATGGGCAGACTATACTGGGATCCATTACTTTGGACCCTCAGGACGTTAAGGAGCTTGGACTCAAGGCGATTCTCAACTTCGCTAAAAGGGCGAGGCTTGTGATCTAAGGATTGTAGAGGTGCATAAGGGCCCGCTTAAGCGGCCTATGCACTGGCTCCTTATGGTGGCCGGAATGCCTCTAATTTCAAAATTCATTCATTCAATCAAACGAATCCAAGCACATGTGACGTTGGCGTTTGCTGTTAGATGGTATTCGAATGCGCTCGTCTACATGTCGTTTAAATTCAGTTTCGAGTTGGACCGCGTTGGGTTAAGTTCGGTGCTACAGACAAACGACTAAATACTAGCAGCGCAACAAATCCTGTCCAGACCAAATCAAACATCCCTTTTATGTACGTCGGAAACCATTGGCTTATGTTGGCTCGCGCCGTACACACCGATTCGAGCAACCCCATGTGCCTCGGTTTGCATTGGCCTGTACGCGGCGTAACACAGAGTTACATACACAGATACATGCATCATCGCTCAGTTATCGCTCAGCATTCGTAGCAGACAGACGTAAAATGTATCTCTATCATTCCTGTTTTGAGGGCAAGTGTACGGGGAAATAATAATAGACCGTCGTTATTTAGGTCGAAGTTCAGCTTAAAGCTGTTCTGCCACTTCATAATCCTTGACAAAAATAAATTGATATCAAAAATAAAATGTGTAAATTATAAAACAGTACTAAATAATGGTACTATATAAATTTAAATCCTCCTATGTATCAAAATTATGTTTTAAAAGGACCTGCATAGTTCATGTTCATAATTTAGAGAAATGAGGTGCTATGATTGTGTTTAAATTTGTTGTGCCAAAATGTTTCTCTTAACCTGCTTTTTAAAGTCGTTGTAGTTCGGAAGCTTCACAAGTGATGGAAATGCGTGGTAAAGTATAATGACATAATAAATTAAGCACTTATGGAAGAATGATGACATTTTTCCCGAAAATGGTTAGGAGCCTCAGAGACGTCGAAAAGTGAAGTTTGGACGATGTTTACTTTTTTAGACTTCAAAGCTTTTTAGTTCTTAGCATAGCAGTAACTTCATCAGAATCTAAGCTGTACTTTCCAAGTTATAGATGGTAAAAGGATTAGTGGACAGACAGACCGACAGACAAACAGACCGACGGGAATGAATGCCATAGTTTTTCGTGCCGTACATGTCATATAACATCCAAATAAAAAACATATCTCATCTTCGAAATTACAATTACGTCATCTCCAGTGGCGCGAGAAGTAAAAACGTTGTACGCTTTTAAAACATAACTTTAGTTACTTTTTAATGTTTTCTTAAACGATAAAAAATCAAGGTCTGCTTTTGGCATTATCCGCTGCTACAGTGACACCCATTCTGTTTAAACAGAATTGTACCAAAAAATAGGCTGGCACGATTTTCTCATGATGCATGCCTAGATCGAGTGCACGTGAGGGATGACGTCGTGGCCGCGGTATGATAGGTACACCGCCAACTTTGACAGCGACCTGATTTAATGCCCTATTGTTCCTGAGCATTGAAGTGGTCAGGGCGTATGCACGTACACATACTAGGACATTGCGGCGCGTCACTTCCTCTTTGCTGCACGATCGGATGAATCGCAGATTACGACTATTTGGCCGTATAATTAAACTCGTCTGATTAGATATACCCCTGGCAGACTTTTAAATAATCAAATTGAGTCGTAGCCCAGGAGGTATACATTGAGAACCAAATTTATCTGACGGCTTGAGTTGAATGTGTACGAGAGAGAAGTGTGTATAGACACTTATGTTAGGAAGAGAAAGTAGCTGGCTGGATAGCGAAGCTCATCACCGCGTTGCCTAGCAACGCTAAAGCGGCAATCTGCCGCGTTGCCAACATGTTGCACCAATTCCTTGAATTAAGATGCATGTTGAAAATATGCGTTAGTTTTTTCTCTACGCCCAAATAATGGTTTTATTTTGAGCGTACCCATTTTTGAATTGTGTTAAATCTGTTTAAGATCGGTCCCAAAACGCTTCATGTTAGGTCGAAATGCAAGGTCAGGATCGCCTCAAATTCTGTAACACTGCATCACTGGTTCGTTAGATAACACCGCATGTTGTACATTCTAAGGCAAGGTTTCCACCTCCATGATCATAGATGAGCGATTTTGGTCAGTACCCATTTAGCGCTCATTGGGGAGTGTCGTCATGCTTCGAAATGGTTTTCACCTGCGCACACGCAGGCAGTGATAATTAGTTTGTATTGCGTAATGGTCGCTGTCGCAAAATGTAACAGTAACTCGGGATGTGTTGATTTTATCACCATCGGTAGAAATCAGATAATTCTAAAATAAATTAAAGGACAGTCGCATCAAAATTGAAATAAATAATTCTAATCAAAATGAAAACAATGTATTAAATTAAATGTTCCAACAGACCTCCTTCTTGGGTTTTACAGTAGCTTAACCTATTGTAGACGCTTGTGCGAACATTTTCTGGTGTAACATATTGGCAACGCGGCAGATTGCACGAGCTTCTGCGTCACCGTCACTAGACAATGTAGTGATGTCCTTCGCTCTCCAGCTGGCTTCCATCTCTTTCTTCGCGTTTCTCTCTCGTACATATTGAACTCAAACCGTCAGACAAATTTGGTTTTCCCTGTATTCGCGACTACGTGGAAAAAATTCTCATTCGATTTTATTCCATAATCTTGTTCAAGAAGGGCCTGTTTCAATCAAACTGCATGTTGCCAGACCCAAAATTGCGTCGTTGTTTACGCAGACTCCAAATTGTTTTTTCGCTCCGCACTACGTTTTTTTAGTCATTCCAAACAAAAAAGGATTCTACAAAAAGGGACAGCCGCCACCTGAATTTATCTCGCATGTTTTGCGATACTAATAATGGATGTTTGATGAACGTTTAGGAACTTTTCAGTTTTCCCATATTTTTAAAAATGTTGAATCGCTCAGAGGAAACCGTTTTTGTTCAAGGTGACCCAAAAGTCCTAAAAAGCATTGTGTGGAGCGAAAAATACAATTTAAGAAATTCGTCAACAAAAATTATTTACACAATTTATGACGCAATTTTGGGTCTGGCAACTTGCAGATTCGTTAAATCAATGAGCTTATGCAAGATGGGCAGAGAAACAAACGTTTCATAATCCTAGATGAAATTAATTTAACATTTATTAATATCATTTCCCATCTACTGAAGATCCTCACTCTGCAGGAATTATTCGGTACCTATTTATTCTGAATTAATATTTCTGGGAACTGCAAATAACTCAAAAATTTAGTAATTTAACCTCCCAAAAATTTTATACTAAAATACAGATTATAAAAAGGATAATCCCAAACCGTGAAATATTCACGGTGTTACAATCAGTTAATTAGAGAAGTGAGAGCGTGAGGAACTATAGTATATGAATCATGTTTAGACGAAAAGTTTCCTACTTTACCTGCAAAACTGACTGACTTACAAACCGTTGAAGTGGTTGTTTAGACAGATCATCGCGTAGCTCCAGAACTACGCCAT